GGAGCTTCAAAGTTGATAAATTATTGTCCTCTGTTTTAAAATCTGAGCATATCTGTGTATTTCCTAGGACTGCCATAACAAATTACCACAAACATAGTGGCTTAAAACAGTAATTTATTCTTTCACAGTTCTGAGGGCCAGAAATCCAAAATCAAGGTGTTGGAGAGTTTGATGCTTCCATAGGTTCCAAGAGACAATCTGTCCCATTCCTGTCTCCTCCTAGCTTCTGGTGCCTCCAATTTCTTGGCTTGTAGCTACAGAAGTCCAATCTTAGCCTCTGTCTTCACATGCTCTTCTTGTGTCTCTGTACCAAATATCTGTCTACTTGTACCAGTTTATAATGCAGAATTTTTTCAATAGATAAAGTTACACATATGTTGATATATATATATTCGATTTGATATGTATGCTATTTTGTTGTATTGACAGCAAGCTTCAAAACTTCATATATCAAATTTTTACGAAGGTGTTAATATCATAGATATTTTTATGCTTAAAAATGTCCAATTTCATGCCAAGAAAAAGAGAGCATTTGTCAGAAGTTTTAATTCATTATTTTATTTTGAAGAAAAGTGCTGCTGAAACTTATCATATACTTCGGGAAGCTTATGGTGAACATTCTCCATCTCAAAATACTTGTGAATGCTGGTTTAAACACTTTAAAAGTGATGATTTTGATGTGAAAGACAAAGAACGTCTAGATCAAACGAAAAAGTTTGAAGTTCAACAATTACAAGCATTATCAGATGAAGATGCGTGTCAAACTCAAAAACAACTTGCAGAAAGAATAAATGTTGCTCAGCAAACAATTTGGGATCATTTACAAGCAATGGGAAATATTTTAAAGAAAGGAAAATGGGTGTCACATCAACTGAATGAAGGACAAATGGAAAAACAAAAAGTCATCAGTAAAATGTTGCTTCAACGGCACGAAAGTCTTTTTTGCATCCAATTGTGACTGGTGATGAAAACTGGGTTTATTTTGAGAATCCCAAACACACAAAATAATGGGCTGATCCAGGTCAACAATCAACATTGACTGCAAGGCCAAACTGCTTCAGAAAGAAGACAATGCTCTGGCCGAAACCAGTTTGGCTCAGTGGTAGAGCTTCGGTCTGCGGACTGGGAGGTCCCAGGTTCGATTCCGGTCAGGGGCATGTACGTTGGTTATGGGCACATTCCCAGGAGGGGGTGTGCAAGAGGCAGCTGGTCGATGTTTCTCTCTCATGAACGTTTCTAGCTCTCTATCTCTCTCCCTTCCTCTCTTTGAAAAATCAATAAAATATATTTTTTTAAAAAAGAAGAAGACAATGCTCTGAGTCTAGTGGTTTCAGGAAGGTGTGGTATATCATGAGCTTCTAAAACAGAGTGAAACCATTAATATTGATCGCTACTAACAACAAAAATCAATTTGAACCATGCTTTGATCATAAAACAACCAGAATGGGCAAGAAGAAACAGCAAAGTAATTTTGCTTCATGATAATGCAACATCACACACTTCAAAACCAGTTAAAGACATGTTAAAAGATCTTGCCTGGGAAGTACTAACCCACCCACTGTATTCACCAGACCTTGCTCCTTCAATTTACCACTTATTCCAATCGATGGCACACGTACATTCTGAGCAGGACTTTAAAATGTATAAAGAAGTGAAAAATTGGGTCTCTGAATGGTTTGCCTCAAAACAAGAAAAGTTCTATTGGGACGGTATCCACAAATTACCTAAAAGATGGGGAAAATGTGTAGCTAGCGATGGACATTACTTTGAATAAAGCACTTTTGATGTTTCACTTGAAATTATCCTTTGTTCTTTGATTACAAAATCCGCATTATTAACCAGTACACCTAATATAAGAACACTAGTTCTTAGACGTAGGGCACACCCTTCATCCTAGATGAGCTCAACCAGAGATCCTTAACTTAATTACATCTGCAAAAAACTTATTTCCAAATCAGGTCACATTTACAGGTACTTGGGGTTAAGATTGAACTATATCTACTTTAGGGGATACTATTCAATCGAATACAACATCCCAAAACCAGAACCTGTCATTTTTACCACAAGTCCTCTCCTTTTTCCAATGCTCTTCTTCATATTACTAGACCCATTTCCCAGTGAGGGCCCAGGCTGAACTCTCATCTCCAAGGGCTCTCACCCCCTTCATCTCCAATTCCAATAAGCTCTATAATCCATAGTAATGAAGTTGAATCAAATCTACTCAACAGAATTACCCATGCCTGTCTCCTCTCTTCCATGCCTGCTGCCCAAACACCCTGGTCCAGCTTGGGTCACCAATCCAAGACCAGATCATGACTTCTTACCTGTTCTCCCAGCTTCCTTTTATGACCATCCTACGTGTTGCTGTCTTAATAGAGCCCGGTCATACCTCAACCTTGTTCACAAACTTTTAGTGGTTTCTAACCAAACAAAAAGCAATCTTTTTATAGCCCAGCATCTAGGTCTACTAGACTGAGTCCCAAACCCTCTCCCAGAATTATTATCCACTGCTCCCCTCCATTTGGTCCAGGCTTTGGTCAAAGTAAATTACTTACTGTTCTTAAACAGCTTCTCAAAGGCCTCCACGACTTTGAAATCCCTCTGCCTGGGATTTATTTATTAATTCAACAACCGTTTACCTTGACTATGTCTCCTTGTCAATATCTCACCCAAAATAGCTCAACTCAAAGACAACTCATCCATAAGTCTTTGTCCAGTTTCATCCACCACATAGGATTCTTCCTTTTAAAATTTAACAGCCTGACGAACAGATAAGGCATTCTTGTTCTCTCCTCCCCTTAATGACGTGAGCACTTGTCATCAACCTCATGACAGAATCTGAATGGAATCCTGCTTTCCTCAGGTGCATCCCCCCATAAACTAACACAGTGCCTCCACATAACATGTGCTTAGAAATATCTGATTGGTAAAATATATGTCAAGCAAATGAATAAAACAGCCCGTGCTTTCACACAGCTTTCATTTGAGGATGAAATGAGCACAAAAGTGAATAAGAAGTGTAAGTGGAATTCTATGGAAAGTGCAGAAGAAGAAGCTTTTGGGTTTTTTGTTTGTTTGTTTTAATTTTTATTGATTGATTTTGAGAAAGAGAGATATAGATCTATTGCTCTACCCCCATTTATGTATTCATTGTTTGCTTTCCTGCATTTTCCCTATTGAACCCACAACCCTGGCGCATCAGGACAACTTTCCAACCAAAGAGCTACCCACCCAGGGTAAGGAAACTTATGAAATGGGTGAAAGTTTCCTAGAGATGGCAAAACAGAACATAGATCTTGAGAGATAAACAATATTTTGATGAAGAGAAGATAGGAGGGGGCAATCAGGGAAGAGATTAAAATACAGAAGAAATAATATCTGGAAGACACAGAGCCAAGTGAAAGCAAATGGCATTTCCCAGGTCCCATGAAGAGCAGAGATTTCTGTCCCACTGACTGAGTGAATGGTGAGTAATGGAAAGCAAGCCAAAAAGGCAGGTTAGCATCCTGTATGTTATGCCAAGGAACTTAAACATATATTTTTATTGGTTAGAGAGAGAGAGAGAGAGAGAGAGAGAGAGAGAGAGAGAGAGAGAGAGAGACATCAATGATGAGAGAAAATCATTGATCGGCTGCCTCCTGTACAACTCCTACTGGGGATCTAGCTTCAACCCAGGCATGTGCCCTAACTGGGAATCAAACCAGGACCTGATGGTTCGAAGGTCGATACTCAAGCACTGAGCCATGCCAGTTGAACGCTATGCCAAGGAATTTAAAATTGACTCATGGAAAACTTTCAAACATGTGTAATGTAGTCACATCTGCATTTTCTGATGAGCACTTTCATGGTATCACAGAACCTAAACCTGGATCTGCATAAGAATCATCTGGAGAGCCCTAGCCGGTTTGGCTCAGTGGATAGAGCATCAGCCTGTGGACTCAAGGGTCCCAGGTTTGATTCTGGCCAAGGGCATGTACCTTTGTTGCGGGCACATTCCCAGTGGGGGGTGTGCAGGAGGCAGCTGATCAATATTTCTTTCTCAACGATGTTTCTAACTCTCTATCCCTCTCCTTTCCTCTCTATAAAAAAAATCAATAAAATATATATTTTTTTAAAGAATCATCTGGAGAGATTCAAACTTGCTTAATATGGATAGAAAAGCACAAATAATAATAGAACAATTCTCCATACGTAATAAAATCATGTTGATGTTGTGCCATTTTGGCTTAAAAATGTTTAAGAGAAATAAACTACATCTGCCCTTGACCTCCCCTTTGTTTCCTTTCCCACAATAATATCATTTTGGTGAGTATACTTATAACCCATGATTCTAAAAAGAAAGAAATATGTAGGTATCCATATAGCATTACTACTTTAATTAAAATTATATAAATGATACACTCAGTAAATATTGTTCTAAATTTGGTTTACTCACTGCAAAGCATTTTTAAAAGCTCAGGTTTTTGCATCCTACCCAGATGTAATTAATCACAATCACTGAGTGGAGGTGTTTAGAAATATGCACTTTTTAAAAATCCCATTCCATTTTGATGTCACTACATCTACATTTGGGAGTCATTGGTGTGGAAGATGAACTGGAGAGAAGAAAAAGCAGAGGTAGGAAGAGCAGTGAGCACGTTTTGCGATAATTCAAGCAAGAGGTGTAAGGTCCTAAGCGAGGGTAGTAGTAATAGAAATTAATGATGGGGGACAGATTCTGAGGCCTTGTGAGGATAAAAGCAATAGGGCCTTGTAACTACAGTAATTAGATTCTGGGGTGAGAAAAAGTAGTAGCTAAGAAATGGCCCTAAGGATGGTAACTTGAGTGAACTGGAGGACAGTGACACCATTAACAAAAATGGAAAGCACAGGCCATGAGAGAGCAAACAGATTTGGTCTTAGACATGTGATTTTGAGGTTTCAGCAGGACCTCTGTGCAAGTTTCCCCAACAGGCATTTACACATGCTAGACCAGATCAAGGGAGAAGGACCAGACTCACCATTAAGATCCAGGATTCCCTGCTTAAAAGAACAGCTGTGCACATGGAAATGGGTATGTCTGTTTCAGAAGAGAGAGAAAAGGACTTTGGGAAGGTCTTTGGGGCTCATATGTATAGGAGAGAGCAGATAAAGAAGGTAGGCTCAGGAGTGGCCAGAAGTTGAAGGGCCACTGCGATCAGGAAGCCACTGGAGGGATCAGAAGTCAGGGATCCACAGTGACCAGAGTGGACATTGAAGAGAAGGACCAAAAGACATCATTAAATTGGAGTATCAGTGACCTTCCAAAGAATATTAGCAATCATGGAGGCAGAAGTCAGACGGTGGCAGCAACATTAAGCTACTCGTTAGTGATGAAACGTGAGGTCAACAAGAATGGTTACAAAATAGTCACAGGGAGGTAAAGTACAGCATAGGGAATATAGCCAATAATACTGTAATAACTACGTATGGTGTCAGAGACTTATCAGGTGACACTTAGTAAGTTATATGAAAGTCTAACCACTCTGCTGAACACCTGACACTAATATAGCACTGAATGTCAACTGTAGTAGGAAAAACATGAAAAGAATGGTTGAGGGATAATTATTTTGGGTTTTAAACAGAAGAGTTGAAAAGATAAAAAAAATAAAAATAGATGACTTAAGGTCCTGAAGAAATAAGAGGGAATCGGATGAAGAAATGGGAAGACTTTCTGTTAAAAATGGCAGACCAACAACACATTACTGCCCGACTCCCTACTAAAATGACTGCTAAGTCTATTAAATAGCTGGAACTATTAAATAGTAAAACTATTTAATTTTTTAATAAGATAAAGAGGACTAGAAGGAAACAGTGGCAGAGGAGAGATTTTAAAGAATATAAAGCAGAAAAACAATGGTAACTTAGCTCATGATACTCTTTGCCTTACCAACAGCTTGCAAAGTAGGATCCCAACAAGAGCAAATGAACTTGTTCTATAGAATCCTTAGGGGCTGGGCACCAGAAGGCTCCGGGACACAAGAGGGCAGGGGAGGATATTGAAAGCAGAGAGATTACTTGAAGCAGACAGAGCAATTTAGACCAAGAGCTTCTCCTCAACTCAGTGTAGTAAAGCACCTAACCCTACAGATGATGGCTTCATCCCCGGGAACAATTTCACAAGAGGATTCACTGGATTCAAAGGCATCAGACAGTGGACCAGCGGGATGAAGTGTAGGACTAAACACTGATAGAGTAGCAATAATCTGCTCATTGAACTGCTGGTTCCCAGAACAGCAGCATCCAGCTCCAGAACCACATAACTTCCTTCATATCTGCCCCTCTCCTCCCTCCAGGAGACTGGACAGTCCTCCAGAAAAAAATCAGTGCCCCAGAGAAATGGTCCTATTCCCTCATCATCCATCGCCTACAGAAAAGCCCCACCTGCTCCCTCTGAACTCACAGCTGAGCTCAGCCAAGAATCAGGCTCCCACACAGAAGCATGGCGCCAAACCACACAGATGAATCCAAAAAAACTCAAAGACTACAGGAAGCTAAAGACTTTATGGCAAACCAGAGGCTCGCTACAATGGCCCAAAGAGATATTTAATTTGGCCAGCATCGTTATTTTAAAAATAAAAATAAAAAAATCACATAATAATCTGTACTTTTAACTGTCTTGAATACACCAAGTCATCTGGCAAGTCCAGACTCGTGTGGGAACCACAGGTCTGGAGCCAAGAGCGGGAGGAAGAAAGGAACGGGCCCCTTGTGTGTGAGGAGAGGGCTCAGAGCTATTACTGGGTTCACAAAAGGGCCCATGATCCACAGAGAGGTTAAGAGCCTGGAAACAGCCACTCTTTCTTCCCGCCCCAACAGTTTATCCTCCTCTAAGTGTTTTGCCCTCTGCACCTCCCACATCTGCCTTTTGGCCAAGATCCACATTTCACTCCTTTAATCTCTTTTCAGTCACTCTCTCTGGCCTGTAATCGCCTTTATGACTCTTTTCTCAAGTCTTCCAATTTGTTCAAACCCAACTGTGAATTTCTCTGGGAAGATGTAATGCTCTTTAGGATTACTAAGCAAGCCTGCACCTAAAAGCTTTTAGAAGAAATACCCCAGATTTGACATATTCCATCAACTTCTCTCAAGCAGCTGCCCAGGTCAGAAGGGAAGAATGCAGACCACTGCAGGGGATGGGAGGAACTGGAGTTGTTCATAGATATTCCCCGTTATTTCTTGTGCATTGAAACTATACAGGTCGAGGGGTCCAGGGAGGTCTGCTCTTATAGCCACTTGAAATATCCCGGAGAAAAGAGGAAGCATCAAAATTACCCACAGCTCAGAACACATGACTACTGCCATATTTGAGTTGATTAGAAATAAACACACACACACACACACACACACACACACACACACACACACACTGGTTCTATGCATAAATTTGTTATCAGCCAAGCCTGCTCAGCCCAATCCTAAGGCTACTTGCAGCACACCAAAGCATCAGCCAATCTGCTCTGACTGGAGGTAATCACAATATATACATAAATTCCTGCCAAATCAGAATAAATTTAAATTTCCCTCAGAGCTCTGCAAGAGACGAAAAGCCTTCCCTTTTCTGAGACATCTACTTCTGGGTTAATGAGTTTATCACAAGCCAAAGGTAACTTGGTAGTTGGATGGGAAAAGTTCTTCCTCAAATTGCTTCACCCACCATAGGGTGTCCTCTTTGTTGGAGTTTTGTGTTGAACATGCAGTTTGGCCACACGTCTCTCCCGGAGCTCCCAGAAGCCGCTTGGCAGTACTGGGGCCTTGGGCACAGGCAGGTCTGGGGGAAACACTGAGAACCTGGGCAGGGTCCTGGCCCAGGACAGCATGGGAGAAGCCTTTCACACCACCATCTTCCAGCATTGCCATTTGTGGGATGGTACCTCAGAAGGAAGCCCATATGCTAGATTCCATTCTAGAACTTTCCATATGGGCAACTCAAATGTTTTGCTCTACCCAACAACGTTGTTAGGAAAACCTTAAGAGAGAATCTAGAAAAAGCTCTGCAGCATTTAAAAAATGTCCCCCGGGCCAGCTGATGAGTATGAGGTTCTCCCATGACGACCAGCCCCAAAGTCTCAAATGCCCATTTTTGCTACTTCAGAGATTTTCCTGGACTCGCTTTTCCTTCACATTCCCTGGTGTCATTAACAGTTGTGTTTCATTGGAATGGCTCCAGTAACCAGAGTCCTGGCATGACAGTCTGAAGCTGAGAGAATCTTCACTATGTAGAGTCCTCTTACGTGGGCCTCTATCCCCACACTTTTCGACTTAAATGCTGCCAAAAAGTTTCCATTGTTCCTCACAGAAAAGCAAAACTCCTCTCACATAGCCATCCTGGCCCTGCATCCTCACCTCTTTGCCCTGGGTTCTGTCTGCCCAGGTCACACTGGCCTCCTTTCTGGCATTCATATTCACCATGCCTACCACAGAGCCTGTGGGCGTGAAGGCCCCCCCATCTAGAAAGATCCCCCTCTCTCCCTTACTTGTCCTTTCTGTTTCGGTCCATAGAAGCCTTTCTCAACCTGTCTGACTAATGTACCTTCCCTAATGAAGGCTCTCAGGCAGTGTACTTTCACTCTCCCAGGAGCACTGAACACAGTTGCAACTGTACATTTGCTAGGTGACTGGGTGGTTAATGTCTGTCTCCCACACTGGATTTTAAGCTCTGTGAGAGAAGAGACCAGGCCTGTGTCTGTCCACCCATTGTATCACCACTGGCGTGGACTAGAAGCTTTGTAAATATCAGGTGGAGGCACAGACAGAAGGATGAGCACATAATTTCAGGAGGACAGTCTTCTTCCCTACCCCATTCTCTGTTTTTACCTTTTCTCCTGTATTTGTTCTGCTGAGAAGGTCCTCGGTGGCATGGGTCCTGCTTCTTAAGGAGTCCTTGGGGTGCAGGGTGCCAGCTTTGAGTGAGGCAGAGTTGGCACCTCCTGGGTCAGAGCTTTACCAAGGTGAGAAGGAGATGGGCGTGAGGCAGGCAGATAAATCCGCCCTCCTTTCTCCACCCTAGGAACTGTTTCAAGGTGTGGCCCCAGCACCCTGGAGATGCACTGAGCCAGTGAACAGACGTGGTTCTGTTCAGAGAGACAGATGTGGTTCTTCACAGCCTGGGTATGGCATCAGCTTGCTCAGGAAAGCACATCTTCCCTCGTCCTGCTTCTCTTCTTTTTGCCCTTGCCATCCTGGGCTTCCTCTTCCAACTACATACATTCTTGATACCTTAATCCTTCTCTCAGACCCCACGGTATGGAGCATACAGGCAGATATCCGTGATGCCCCTACAGAGGGAAACTGCACCTGCTGCTGGAGCACATAGGACTTTGAAAGGAAGGTCCCACTACATGCCCAAACAGTGGGCAAAGATATTATAATCTTGACCAGGACTAAAGAAGGGAATTCACAATCCCTCTACTTACTTCTGAGCTGGTCAAAACCCACCATCAGCAGTAACCATTTGAGTTTTGAGACACCCACTTTAAAACAGAAGATTCTCAACATTTTTGAACGATGGGCCTCTTAAAGAAACTGGACCCTCCTCCCAGAAAAACGCACATGAGCATTGGTTTGCTCTCATTTGAGGGGTGCTCAGAACCTTAAGCCCCACCCATTGATTTCACGTGAAGAAACCCTGCTTTGGGAAGCAGACACAGAGAAGAACACAATGAGTGGGTGGTAACAAGGAGAGCATCAGGAGCCACATTTTATAAGGAGCAGGTGAAGGGTTAGTTAACCCATAGGCAATCAAGGATGGAAGGTAGGAAGGCATAGCAAGCAGAAGAGGAATTAGATGTTTGTTCATATAGGATCTCTTCTCCTGTGGGTGTCATCTCTGATTTCCGTGGGCAGTTTACACTGTCCCCCTTCTGTGTTCCTATAGCCCCATGAGTATGCTGCAATCCAAACCCATAACAGCCTTTCATCTAAAGGACCAGATAGGAGCTCCACTATGGCATAAAAAGAAAAAAAAAATAGTGCTGGGAGACCCCTCACCCATCCCTCTTTGCTTTGTAAAAATCATCCTCAGTTCAGATGCTGGGCTGGTTGTGGACCAGAGGCCATAGTTTGCCATCCTCTGTACTAGACTGCAACTTAGTGATAGGTCTATCTCCACCCTCCCAGACTGTGAGCTCAAGTCATAGCTTATTTCACCCTGGGGTCTCAGTTCTAACACAGTGCTGGTTACATAGTCAAGTTG